TTTTTGAGTGATAGATTCCTGCATACAATTAGGTCACCAGCTAGTTTTATTAGATCATAGTATTTCTACCAAGGTCACACCAATTCCATATGTATGGGAAGCTTCCCTTTTTCTTTGTAGGTGATACTTTTCTTCATGGAAATAACCTGCAACGACCAAATGAAAAGATTCTTTTCTTTTTTTATATTTGATAGTGGCCAGAAAACTGGTGGCTGAAGAACTGCAGTAGTCTTATTTGCTTCATATTTCCAGGATAGCAAAATGATAGAAGTTGAATTAATGCTGTAATTTTTCTCATTTCCTAATCCTAAACACGAAGATAGATACTAATCAATACACTCTTTAATTCAATATATTGCATAATGTATTGATTAACAATTATTATTTTAATTTAAAGTTAAAAGTAGATAAATATAAAAATTCAGTCATGCATATAAAATGCAAAAACTAGTTAAATTAGTTATATTTATATTATAATTTAAAAATTGAATTGAACCAATATTAAAAAATGTGTTGAACCAAAGATATATTAATCATTTTACATATGCGAATTGAGCACTCATTTTCCATTAGTGCACTTGTGGCTTTTATATTTCTTTGTCTATATGAAGCTTATTATGATAGATTTGCTTGATGTATATTCTATTTATTTATTAATGAATCTGTGGTTATTTGATAAAAAATAATTATGCATATAATCGGGTCACTAGCGAGTTTTATGGAAGCTTCCCTTTTCCTTCGTAGCTGATATTTTCTTCATGGATATGATTAACTTGCCATGACCAAATTTAAAATATATATATATATATATAGACACCATTCAATCTCCGAGTCCTTTTAATTTATAAGAAAACAGTTAGGCCAAAAATGGTGGGATACACTAACATCTTTATTCTACAAAAATTAAAAACAGTAATTACAAGGTCTAATAAATTTTCTTTTCTTTGGAATCAATATCGATTTTTTTTTATAGAAACGAAAAATAACTTGAGAACAAGCTGGGTCATACATTTATTGAAGATGACCCTAATATTAATTATAGGATATATAGAAATTAGGTCATTGACTGGCGTTTTTTTTGGTTCAATATAGTAT